AAATGACTATCGCGACGAAGAAATATTTTACGGGCGGCGCGTTCGAGCGGCGTCGTTACGCGCCGTGGGCACACACACCGTGTGCAACTAAAGGAAAAATAAAGGAAAAGAAGGAGGAAAATAAAAGAGAGAGAGAGAGAGACGGAGAGGCGAGAGTCGAACGGAGAAAAGAGAAGAGAAGGAATGCGCGAGAGAGGTTCCCGGCGACGGGAAATCGTCTAGAAAAGGAAAGGAGAATTGCGGGTACGAGAGGAATCATAACGGCGACACTATCGGCTGGTTTTCGATTTTATTCGATTCGATAGAGATAGAAATTTTTTATTCTCATTTTCGACCTCGGATTTTGAAATTAAATTTATCGTACTCGAATTAAATACTTGCTTTGTTTTTCGATTGTCCATTGTCCGTAATATACATTGTATAAAAGATACGAGGAATCTTCTATCCTCCTTATTGAAAAAAAATTTTTTCAAATTTTGGACGAAAAACTGATTCCTGAATCTCGAATATTTCCTCGAAACACATCCGCTAATCTACTAATCACGATCCCAATCAACCGCTCAAAATCATCGGATTCCTATTTTCCACGCATTCATTCCTTTTCGTTTCGTCATCGTGAGAAAAGAACTATTTCGATATCGATTGATATTGATATCTCCCTCTAAAACTCTGACGAACACGTGGCCCCCGTTTGTTTGGCCAAAGACAAGAACGCATCGTGATCGACCTCGAACCAAGATGCCAAGATCCTAGTCTCTCGGTTCTACGATTCGAGTGGCATTCGAGAGGTATAAAGCATCGTGGATCGAACGGAACGGGAGCCGCATCTCCCCTGATCGATCTCCGCCGCGACTAGTAACGCGGAACTGAATCCGGATCGGATGAACGAGGGAACCGGGCAACTTTATGCGCCTGCTCTGTTCTCTTCCTTCCGTGGAAGCGATCTCTCTCTCTCTCTCTCTCTCTCTCTCTCTCTGCCACCGCCTTCGTTGCCTCGCTCTTCGTTTCTCGCTCCCTCCTTCCTCCCTCCTCCTCTCACTCTCTCGCGTTACTTCCGCGCCTGGAATCCCACGCTTACGCCGCTACGAACGTCAGAGGCGTAAATCCGAGAGAGCTTCCTGGGCTGCGAAGCGTCGCGGCGTCGTTAATGATAGCTCCGAGCCGCGCTCTGCCTTTCTGCCTCGCGCTCTCTCCCTCCTCCCCGCCCCGCCCCACCCCACCCCTCCCCTCCGCCCTCCCGCCTCGTGCTTCGCTATTTCCTCTCTCTCCGGCTCTGCGGCCCCGCTCTCTCGCCGCCTGAGAACGCGTTTCGAGACCTAAAGCCTCGGGAAAACGCGCGTGCGTGCGTTCGTTCGCTCGTTTACTTCTACTGGCGGCCTTCTGAGTCGATGTCGTACGATGGCAGACGAAACTTTTTCGGTTTAAGAAGGGTTTACGCATTATTGGATCGTTTTAACCGTTTGTTCGCGAAACGAATTATCCGTATCCATATATTATTTTATTTTGTTATATTATTTTCGATTTAATCTTTGAATTATATATTTGATTTTTCCGCGAACGATGACGTTGTTAGAATACAGGAAAGAGTACGTTCTTCTATCTATCCTGAATACTTTTTAATCGTGAAACGTATCTCGACTGTTTTCCTTCTTTCCATGTTGTTCATTCTTAATTAATTTATTGCTGCCTTACGACTTTTCCAAATCGTATAACGTCATAGTTATCCATTTCCAACTTTTTTTATTATACACAATTTAAATATGTAAATCTGTGATCTCGAAGTAAGATCTGAACTGAAGAAATTAACGAGTTTTTCACACGAACTTGTGTATTATATATATATATATAGATATATAATATAAACGATATATAAAAATCTCGAAGGATCTCGAAGGAGAGATACAATATGTTAATAATTCCAATCATTTCGTAATCGGTGATCATTCCTTTTTTTTTTACATCACACAAATCGTGTTTTCAAGAAATGTACAGAAGTCGAGATATCAATCGCCACATGTATTCAAATGTAGTCAAATGACTATCCGAATACTACGTAACGTTATTATATTAATTAACTATTCGATTTTTCTAACGATTCTCATTCTCAAACTTCTTCAAAAATCTTTTTCAAAAAAAAAAAGTATTCACTCTTTCACGAAAAAACAAACTTTAATTTTTTTTTCTTCGAAATGAATTCGTTCCGTTTTAAAAAACGTTCTTAAAAACTTCTTTCAACAGGGGGAGAGAAAACTCCACGGCAGTTATCCGCAGAGAGACGCCTGTCTGCGCAACTATCCACGGGAGGACGATCGAGAACTCTCGATAATACAAGGAACGGTGTTCGCCGACTCGAGAAGAAAGCCTCGAGAATCGATTCCAATCTGGGTGATATCCAACGTCGGACGTTCTCTCGCGCTCTTGTCGGAAGATCGATCCACGGAAAAGAGGATTACCATACGCCGCTCCGTCGGACAACTTATTATCGGTTATTTATCACGACGGCCCGTGACTGAAATTTTTTCGCGGCGAGCGAGTGTATCTCCCTCTCCCAAGACTCGCAGAGATCGTTCGCGTTCCACTTGCGAGAGATGGGAGCCCGAGCGAGGAAGAAGAGAGCCGCAGCGGCGATCTCGCGCGTGAGAAATGGACGAGCCATTAAAGCTGGCCGAGATCGAAGGCCGCGGCGGCGAGTTACGTCGGGAATTGCCGCGAGAGTGGATCGAGAGAGATCTGGGACACTGGTCGGACGACAAAGATGAAAATGATGCTCGGAATTTTTGATCCTCTTCTCGAGGAATATATTATTTTAGGATGGACGAGATTTCGCGGTGTGCGAAGTGCATCTTTGATTGTGAATAAAAAAAAAAAAAAAGTTACAAAACAATTCGAATAATGTTTTTAAAAACATAACCTAAAAATGTTCTACTTTTGTTCCATCGATAAATGCTTTCCGACCTCAGCCTCCTTTCCTCTCTCATTTCTATTCGCCTCAAACTTCAACTTTCAATATCCTCTCGTCCGTTTATATCTCTGTAACGAAGGAATCCGTCCACGGATTCTGAGAGACGGAGAACGTAATCGCTTCGTGACGAAACTTCGCGGAAGCGACGTTACGTGAAGAGAGACCCCAGCGAACGACGACAACGAGCAAATCTTAACCGTTCAAGTATCAAACTAATACCTCGCTCGCACATTCTACACTTCACGCTCACATTTTCAAAACTATCATTAAAATCGATCCGAAATATGTAATTCGAACGAAGAAAATCATCACGAATCATTCTCACATTCACAAATATATATATATATATGCGTATAAGTTGAAAGTTGTTGCGTAAAAATTGATGTAGAATGATTACGTATGAGGAAAAAAAAAAAAAAAACGACAAGATAATATAAATCAATAATCACGAATATTAATTAGCAATATCGAAGAAAACTTGAAACTTGAATTGAAAATACGTCTCGAAGAGCCGTATCACGGTTAAAAACTATCTTCCCAACTATCCTTCCTATAAATAGAGGAACATCTTGATCGGACTTCTCGATACTTTTCGATCAGATTTCTGCAAAGAGCCGTAGGCGTTGAACGGTTAAAAGGAAGCATCGAGGCAACCGGATCGAAGCGCCGTTGCTCGAGGCTTTGTTCACGTTGGACGAACAGCGGACACGCCATCGGCCACCAGCGCTGCCTATACGGTCCGTGTAATTAGATGTAATTAAGCAAGCCACCTTATCCGACTGCCTTCTCTTCTCTTCTCTTTTTCTACTACTACCTCTCCCTCCTCCGCCTTTCCCGTCTCGCTCTTTTTCTTTCGCCTTATCCCGCCTCGTTGTATAACACCCAACTCGCGATTCATTTTCCCGACAACCGTGCCGCCCGAGATTTCTCGCGGTTTTTCCACTTACTAGATAAATTCTCGACCCCCGTAACCCCATTGGATTCGCCGCGCGAATTCACCGCGAGAAAACGTTCGCGGTCGACAGCTCGGCACTTGAGCGCCCTCACGCGAAAGCGTTTAAACGCGACAACTTCCGAGCATTGCCGGTTTTATGGCGAGTTTTCATGGATCGTGATACGTGGTCGCGTTGGATACGAGGCTTGTCGTTGGATACTCTTCGATCAACCACCTGTATCTTCGTTGGCCGTCAAATTTTTAATTTGAATTGAAGACACCAAGATTCGAGTATTCGATCACTGCTCGCGAACGTTTACGTTACGTCATGTTTTATTGATATTTGCGTACTATACTTTGTTTTGTTTCAGCTGGATTATAATTTCGATTGTTAGATTAGATTCGATGAGAATTTTTAAGAATCGTTCAAAACGTGCGATTGAATCTATTTATTATTAGAAATCGAACGATGTTCACGGTGGACAACGACGACGACGACGACGACACGTTTGCCCAATGCTTGCGAAGCAAAGTTTAAAAACGATGACTATGAGCGTAACTGAACCGAAACAGACTGAAGTGTGTTTATACGTGGTTAGAGTATATTCGGTGTGGTGTCGGACAAATGTGCGAACTCAATATGAAGTATTTTTAGCGCAGCTTGCTTCGAAAGATTTGGTTACCAACTATTCTCCACCACTTGTGATTTCGAGATACATTTCGTTTTACCTCGATTCGCAGGTAACGAGTCGGATCTATCTTATTCGGAATTTCATTTTTCTCTTGCTTTTTTCTTTCACGACGAAATTTTATTACGATATTACGATATAAATAATCAACGACCCGTGATAAAATTTAATAAAATTTCGCTTTTTAACATTCGCTTTGATAGAGAGAAGAAAAAAAAAAAAAATTTACCAAACCTAACCTACAAATCCTACCCGCCATTTATTCCACAGTACAAACTGTATAAGATTTTGAATTAAACTTGCAGCATAAGACGATCCTCGCGCAAACCCTCATGTCTCAATATCTTTCGAAAACAAATAGATGTATAAAATCGAATAATCATTTAAACAGATGATCAGAGATCTCGCGTTTTCCCGTGTTATCTGCAATTCCCCGGAACTGTTCGCTTATATTCCGCTTCAACGGCATTCCGTGAGAAATGCACGCACGATAATCTCTACACCAGAAACAGAGACTTGTTACTCACCTTGTTATGCGGCAACTGTGTGGGCACGTACAACGGTGGATCCAATCCGGGACTCGTCACCGCGTGACGCCCGATAATCCTGTCCGCCGGTTTCGCGTCGTATCCTTCCGGCTGCCCGATGTGGAACCCCTTGCTCTTCACCCAGAATCGAAACTTACTGTTCTCCGCACTGTTCACTTCCTCACCTCTCAATGTTCGCAATATACGCGCGTACTTTTTAATCGTGATCGTCTTCGTCTTCGCCAAATCACCGTACGTTTTGATCACCCACGGTTGATACGCGTTGAACATGCTATCGTTCTGAAACTTCTTCGGCAGACTCGCGTTCTCCGCTTGTCCCTTTTGCATCCCGTAACCGGTCCCGTTCACACCGGCCGCGATTCCAGGGAACGGCATGGGCACGCCGCCGTTCTTCGAGTCCATCGCGTTGCCACCGTTTCCATTCCCGACGTAGGCATTGGTCAATCCGGAAGCGGCCGAGCTCAACGAGCCACCGGTCATATTCGAAATGTCGAGATACGAAACGGACGAGCTCTTGCCCAGGTTCGTCGCGTTTCCCACGAACGTGGCCATGGACGAAGACATGTAGGGTATCGGGGTGGGCATGCTGAGACTACCGGCGCACAGACCGGCGGTTGGACTCGAGGCCATGCTCAATCCAGCCACGGAAGCGTACGTAGACACGTCGGACATGTTCGTGGTTTGCCAACTGCTCGACAGCACACTGTTACTGGACACAGCGTCCGACGTGGACACCGATGTCGTGGACGTTTTCGGATTTTGCGCGTTCCCGGATCTCGACACGGAACCGCCACGATTTTTCGACGAGGGACTCGTCTCGGGTGACGACGACGCGTTCGAGGAGGACGAAGATGTCGCTTTAGTCGCGTTCGTCGATGTACCACGTGACTTCTTGGTAGGTGGCTCGTCTCGTGCACTCGCGTTCATCGAGTTCAGATTACCGTGGGACGGGCTGTTGTTGTTCTCGGACCTTGAACGTTTGCCGGACGAGGCAGTGGCCGACGCGGATTGTCCCGACGGGGTCGGGGAATTGTTCACTGGCACTCTGCGACGGAGTCCCATTGTCGCGCTGGCCATTATTCCTCGGGTATATTTAGTGCCGACCGCTAGCCGGTTTCCCTGCTGACGATCGATTTCACACTGTCACTAGTTCACCGGCCGCGTCGTCGTCGATCACCGAAACCGTCAGCCGCCAGCATTATCGTTCGTACGCGGGTACACGCGCCGACAGACGGACACACGCAGCACAGACACGTACACGCGCGCACAGATGGGACGAAATACACGAGACGACCGATGCCACACCGAGCCGAGGGTTGTCGGTTGTGTGTGCTTGTCGGACCGGGTTGTTGTATTATCGACGTCCACGATGTCCAGTGGTCCAGTCGTTCTCGTGTCGGGATGACGCCGCGTCCGGAAAATCGGGACCCGTACGAGTTCTCGCGTACGAGTTGCCTCGGCTGAAAAAAAAGTAAAAGAGCAATGGAACGTGTGACAAGTGGAATTAGCTATGCACTATTAACCGACGGAAACGAGGTTTAAATGAGGCCGGCTCCGCTAATGGACTGGCCAAGTATGTAGGTGGATAACCTATCGGCGGATACAGGGTAATAACGCGATGCTGAAATTTAAATATTAGAAATCGATCTTGCTCGCCTCCTTTCTCTCTGCCGAGAGAAAAATTTCTTCTCTCATTTTTGGATCGATCGAATATTTGAGATTTCTGTATCAAATGACACGTAGTCATTTACTTATTAGGAACAACATTTTTGATAGTAGATTTATATTTATTTGAATCGTAAGTAGGTTGTTAAAAATCATCTTAATCTATGGATTAAAAATGATATCCGTCAAAATTTTGCCTCGATCAACAACTCTAATTCGATTTATTTATATGCTAACTGAGATTTTTTTTTCTTTTTTGTACAATTACTTCGTTTAATTTACATGCTGTTTAAATAAAAAATGTGTATGTACTCGTGGCTCAACTCTCGTACAATATCAACAACTGGCGTGCAATTCCAGCGTGGCGAAAGAATTAATATTAAAACAAAATTGCATTAATATTGTTGTGTTAATATTAAAATATGTTTATAGTCATTTTACAATAAAAGTTAATGGAATCCTCTGTTGATTACATAAAAGTAATTTAAGATTATTTGGGTTGAAGAAGAAAAAAANAAAAAAAAAAAAGGTAAGTGTAGGGATCTCAGGGTTTAAGGGATCTTTAGACCTAAATAAATTGTAATTGATATAGTGATAAAGTATGTATTACAACTTTGATGAAAAATCAAAGGTAATTTAAAAAAGAAAAAAACTTGTTTAAAGTTACAAATTATTACTACGTGTCCGAAAATATCTACACACAATCGAATCGTTCCATTTTCAGAGGTTAAGAAATATAATAATGTCGCGTAAAAATATATTTCCCATGTTATATATCCATGTCTCATTCAATACATTTGCATAAACGGCATAACAATTGAAAATTAACATCGCACGGCCCTGAAATTCGAGTTCTTTTTTTTTTTATCTTTCCTTATGTACATACTTCGTATTGCCGTTTCAAAATTCAAAATGCAATTTTTGAACCGTGAAACCGACTTTACAATTTCGCAATTTCCATTAAAGTATACAAATTTTTCTTTCGTAATATTTTTTCTCCCGTAATACCGTGATAATAGAAAAATGAAATAAAATAACGACAACAATTAGTATCAATTTCAATAAGAGAAAATGTCGTATTAACGAGGTTAGAGAGAGAGAGAGAGAGACTTGTCAGCACGTCAGAATCCTTATCTCGTTCGAGAAGACTGTCAAAGGATTGGGTGTCCGTCAGGATTAACCCCGGTGAAAGAAAGTATTATAAACGCGAAACGCATTTCCCGTCTATCATCGTAACGCGCCTCTACAACCTTTAACAGTGTTTCCTAGTTAACGGTAAAAACTTCCTTCCATTAAAGATATTATTCCTTTCTTCCTAACCTCAAAAAAAGAGAATACCGTAAAAAAAAGAAGAAGAAGAAGAAGAAAAAAAAGACGAGCGCCGTCGAAAAAAAACTTCATCGTTACTTTCGTTGAGTCGAAAATTGAAAAGATAAGATGCGAAGAGGAGAAAAACACTTGCGTCGATGTTTTTTAAACGTTCCAACGAAACGTTTAACGAGATCGATACAGAGACGAAAGATTCTTCGCCACGGTGTAAGCGAGCCGCGTTTCCGTCACACGTGAAACCACGTTCGTCCTCGAGAGCATTGCAAAGGCTCGAAAACAGTGGGAAAAGGAGCAAAGGAAGGTGGAGGGGGAGGGTAGGGGAGGAGATTGGGAGGGGATTGTAATGGTGGGTCGTCGGTTGTCGTTCAGCCACGAAGCTACAAATTCGCACGTCACCCGACTATTCGGGCTCGTGCATGCGCGTCGCTAATGGATTTTCGTAAGACAGGTGTTAGAACGGCCGCGCGACATAAATGGTATGCAATTAGACACGAGCGCGACTCGGACGGTGGCGCGGCGAATTAGGAAACCGGTTATTTAACCAGCCACCGACTTCCTTCGCGTGTCGTGACCGCTTCCACTGTGCTGACGAGTCGTTGGCAAAGTAGCGAAGCGTGCAACATTCTTTTTTTTTTCTCTTCTTCTTCTTTCTTTCCTTATTCTTTTTCCTTATTTTCGAAAATTTTCGAAATGATTAAGATAATTGATAAAGCGAGAAACGAACATTTTGTTCAAAGATCGATCGATCGATCGTGTAAAACATTTTTCTTTTTTTTTTTTTCTCTTCTTAATCTTTTGATTTTCTGAAATATATTTTCGTTCAGTTATTATTCGGGATATAAATATATAATAGACTCGAAGTCACGTCTCGAATCGTGTCTCTTAATTACAATCGCGTCCGTGAACCACCACGTCACGTAGTCGAACGAGAGAGAAAAGACAAGAGAGAAAGTGGGAAAGCGGTTCACGAAAATGGAGAGGCGAACTTTTAGCGTTCCCTCGTCGCGCCTCGCGCGCTTCACCGTTCACGTCCCATGATTCCATACGCCCTATCTCAGATCAAACTAACCTCCGCGACGCGACGGTCTGTTCGACGATCGAGTCGAGACGAATTTCTTCTTCGATGGGAAAACCGTCGGGGGGGGGGGGAGAGGGGTTTCGCGTTTCAAGTTAAATTTTGTCTAATAATTGGTTTTTTTTTTTTTTCCATGCACGAGTCTCTTGTCGTTGTCGCTTGATCAAATTAATTATAACAAACAAATTTTGTTCACATATGTTGAATAAATAATTATACTTTACAGCAAAAGCATCCTCGTGCTTGTGCTCTTGGAAATTCACGTGTTCACCGATAGAACGAAAAGTATCGAGATTAAAATTAAAATTAAAGATTCCGAACCAAATTTCGTCTTCGTAATTATCGCGAACAACACGACAACCGTAACGAACTGCAAGTATATAGAGAGAGATAGGCCGTGTCAGATAATCGCGAAGCAAACTCGACGCTAATTCAATAAGGCCGATCGCGGACCATACGTCGCGATAGCCTGGATCGTATAATGAACTCGCTGCGATGTATCCACGCTCCTTTAGATAACAAGTGAAACGGAAAGAGAAAGGAGAGAAAGAGAAGTATATATATATATAGAGAGAGAGAGAGAGAAGAGAGAGAGAGAGAGAGAGAGAGA